TGTACATCCCTCTATATATTACAGCACGGCTGCATTTGTGTCTGACTCCCAAGGTTTGTGTTGGTGAACGGATGCTGCCCCATCCTATGATACAGGGTGTGAATGACACATGTAGATTATGCTGGAAACACGGGTTCATTAAATAAAAAAAGGGGGCACACTGGGAAATGTTTTCTGCACATCCACTGAATTAGGAGCAACAAGGGGTTTAATGCATGATATTGATGAATGATTGCAAGATTCAAGCTGCAAGTGCTGTGTCAACAATGTCACCTGTACCGTGTATTTCATGCTTAACCCCATTAAATGTGCCCCCCCCCGGCATGCTGTTTAAATAAGCTCTGTGTAAAATGGTTAACAACACGGGCCTGTGGCCGTAAAATCCAGCTGTCCCATTGATTATGGGGTAATAGCTGGATAGATTAATGTGTTTCTCAGGGGGTTCACGCCTCAACAATGAATCTGAATCACTCACACAGACACAGCAAGTGGAGCAGCCTCCATATCCAATAACTTGCATTTCCATCCTCACTCATATTTCACACGCCAATTACTGGTTAGTCCTTCACCAAGCTTCTCCGTGTCTTCCTCGGCAGTCTCACATGAACCTCCTCTGACACAGTGTCTTGCAGAGTTAAGCTGGATCAATTTGGAAATGTCCTTTTTTTTGGAAAGTGATAATGAAATTCGGCTGTCAGGTGGTGCAGCAGAAACAGATTAGAACAAATCTGGAGTCAAAACTATAAAGTTTAGGGTAACATGCAATGAATAAGAGTATGCGTGAGCTTGTGAGCGTGTGTTGGGGGGTTGCACCATCATAATATATTGCAGAGTAAGTCGAAAAGCTGTGATGGAATAGTGCTTTCAGAGCTCAATATCCCTAGCCGCCGATAATGCGCAACACTACATCACTGGCATTAAATATTCAGAAGCTCAATACAAGCAGGTGAACTTGTGCACCTACACTCACCCAAGCACACAAAGGAAACACTGTATACTTTTATTAGAGATGTGTCTTGCAAAACAGATTTACATCATGAAATCAATTGCGACAACCACTCTCCTCAAACCAACTCTCGGAGCAAGAAAAGCATATATTATCCTCATGCGTGAGCTCTGGTTTCACACTTGGAGGATGAGCCTGCCACCTCAGTCAGCTGAGCAGTTCAGCTGCTGTGCCCTCACTATTCCCTGCTGATAATGAAGTCATTTATAGCGGGAGGTATGATGTGTAGTGTTAATGAGACCTTTTCAGATGCTGCCATGACAAAAATCTTTAAGTGGCCTCAAGCCAACATGAAAAAAGCAATTTCCCAAACCATATTGAATTCAGCCAACTGTGGCATTTTCAATGGGTGAATAAGGGAGCGAAAATTAAAAGCTGTTGTGGTTCCTATACATTGAGGGGGAGAGATTTAGTTCTGCAAATGGGAAAACAGTAAGTTTCACTGTCCATGGTGCTGACACTTCTCTGTTCTCTCTCCCCCTGGAGACACTGGGGAATCGTTGTGTTGTCATATTGCAGAGAATCTTACTTCTCTGTAAAAATGTGATGTTTGTGTGATGTTAAGGGTTCTTTCTACCCCATAGGATGGTTTTTGCTTCTGAGCAACATCAGCTTACTGCTGCTAACAAAGCTCAGAAAGTGAATTACATCATTGCTAAAATGTTCCCTCACTAACAGAGGAGACACTTTCCCAGAGGTGTTGAGGTATACCTGCATACACAATCCACTTTACAGTAAGGACATACAGACTATCCATCGCCTTCTCTTCTGAATGCTTCTTACCTGGTTATTAATGCACAGAGCAAGGTGTTTCCTCTCCCGAGCCACAGCCAGACTCCCGCTGCGCAGCCTCGCCTCCTCTCCCTGGTACATGCTTCTGGAAGGACACCGCTCAAGTTAAGACGCACACAAAACAACTCCAAATGTGCAATATGCTATAAGCCCTCAGTGTGTGAGCAGCCTGTGCTCATCCCCGTGCAGCTGCAGAGAGTGCCGTTATGCATGGATTTTATCACTCAGCAGTGCACGTCGAAGTACAGGCTGTACTGGAGCTTCTCATTCATCCTAAATAAACACTGTTGCCGTGCATGCATGACCAGGATCTCTACACTAACCTGTACGTGTCTTTCCTCAGCATGATGAGCTCTCTCTCCCTCTCTCTCCGTGGTCAGACAGAGATGAAGTGAACACTTTGAGTCGGGAGCAGCCGGAGAGAGAATAGACTTGGGAGAATTTCTCGCAGCCAATGGGACGCTGCTGAGCGTGTGCGCGTTTTTATAGTGCGCCCACCGCGCCGTGTGTTGACTGTGTCATTTAACTTGGCTATCGCCTTTAATCACAGCATTAATTATTCTGCAAGCGCTTCTCTCGGGGGAAGGTTAATCACGCATACTACAGTATCTCAGCCTATTATGCCAGGCTTTTGAAATGCCTCACGGTGTGCCAATCTATTTGCTCATATAATAGATATGGCGTTATAATGGTTTGCATCACACAGGTGTGGGCTGGGGACAGGAGGGACGCACAAGTTGAACAAACAACTGTACTTGGTGGTTTTTAAACGGGTCACACGTCATCCTTACCTAGTTTTAGGTGAGCTGCAGACAGGGTGAGGTGTAAGGAGAACCGGTTTATGTGTTGGTTAAGGTTTAAGTGACAGGCCTCCAAATTATCAGACCACCTGAGCTGACCTTTTTTATTTATTTTTTGAATGGAGGACTTCCAAATCTGCCCAGTGACTAACTACTACAAAAGGATCCTTCTACCAGTGTCCTACAGCCTTGTGTTTCTGCTGGGCTTGAGTTTAAACGGCGCCCTGCTGTGGAGCGTGTGCTGCCGGACGCGCCGCTGGAGCAGCACGGTCATCTACCTGACCAACCTCGCCGTGGCGGATCTCCTCTACGTGCTGGCCTTGCCTCCTCTCATCATCAGCAATGCCATGGGAGGCCTGTGGCCCTTCGGCAACGTCATCTGCAAATCCGTCAGATTCTTCTTTTTCGTCAACCTCCACTGCAGCATGATGTTCCTCACCTGTGTCAGCGTGCACCGTTTCCTCGGCGTGTGCTTCCCCATCACTGCTGTGCGCCTCAGGACCAAAAAACTCGCCCTCTTTGCGTCAGGGTCGGTTTGGATCCTGGCCACGGCGGAGATTTTGCCGACACTGTTTTTTGCGCACACGGGTGTGATCAACAACATGACTGTATGCTTTGAAATGACCAACCCGGGACAATTTAAAGTTTACTTCCCATATGGGCTGTTTTTAGCCATTGTGGGTTTTCTGATCCCTTTCCTCGTCGTTATTACCTGTTACTGCTCCATGATGAAGGTGCTTTACTGCAGGGCCGCGGACAGCATCTCCACTGCAAGGACGGCTCGTATGCGCAACAAGTCCCTGTACACCCTGTTGGCGGTGTGTCTCATGTTTGTGGTGTGTTTTGTGCCTTATCACGTTGCGCGGACCGTCTACTTGTTTGTGAGGGTGTACATGCCCGGAGACTGTGGTCTTCTGAACACGGTCATGATCTCCTTCAAGATCTGGAAGCCCGTGGTCAGTTTTAACTGCTGTGCAAATCCTCTCCTCTACTTTCTGTGCTCTGAACGGCACCGTCAGAATCTCCGGGCCTGGCTGTGGAGGAGGAAGAAGAGAGTGCAGCCCAGCGTGGTGGATGTAGGCAGCACATACAGGTCCGGAGGGTAGAGAGTATGCATCAGAGTGAGTTTTGTCACGAGGCAATGCGCAGAAATAAGACTGTACCAACACCGTCTACAAACTGTGTTTAACAGCTCCTTTTATTATTTTAAATATAAGAATATGTATTTGGCAACATTCAACAGGTCACAGGAGTCACTTACTTGTGAGGCTTTTTGTACACTATGAGGGATTCTAACTTATTGCAATTTATAACACTTGAATAATCAGCTAAAGTAAAGAACTAACACTTACTTAAATACTGAGCCTGCTAAATTAAAAAGAAATGATACTGAGGTGACATGAAACATTTGAGGGAATTGTCGCCCTCTGTCGTTTGCAGAGGGTTGAGTCTCTAAAACAGCATCAAAGCACCATAAAATATCAGTTCAATTTTATAGCATGTACAATCTACTAGAACACCCCCCCCAAACATTTTAGTGTTGTTTGTATAAAAAGGCACAAGAGTGGGGTACATAGAAAATAACTTAAGATGTTGGATATAGTCCAAAAATAATTTCTATGGTGATAATAATTTAAGTGAGAAAACAGAATACCTAGAATAACAGTCACGTGAAGGTTAAAAACACCCTTAAGGTTTAAAAATAAGTGCTACAGCATCTTGTTCAAAAAAGGGGACACTTTGTAAGCGTCCTCTTTTTTTCGGCGCACACTTGTCTGGAGCCACAGAGCTTTAGTGTTGGAGGAGCAGACCGCTGAATGAAGGGCATCATTTCAGAACACTCCTGTGGGCAAGCGATGACAGATGGGTAGAGCAGTGGCCTGGGAGCTGAAAGCAGAGAGGAAAAGAAACATTAAGTCAGAGGCAGTTGAAGTGGAAGAGAGACTTGTGTTTAAGTATACTGAGTAGCAGTAAAAACCAAACGCCCCTGGCCTTCTTTAAAAAAATAAATAAATAAAATGTATGCCAGTGTCAGAGTCTGGATGAATTAATAAATGGATTTCTGTTTGAATTGTGTCTAATCATAAGTAGTGTGCATGTGTGCATGAGTGTGTGCATACCTGTGCGCCCAGCCTGGAGAGGTACCTGTTGCGTAGGCCAAAAGCAGACATGGGTGCTAGTCTAGCAAGCTCACCCTCGGTTGGCTCACTGGGACGCCTTTTAATCCTGCTGGAATAATAATGTGGCCATCTTCATCATCTCTACAGCAAACATTAGCATGAGCAGAATCATATTAATATTACCAACAGGATTAATCAGCCATAGCCTGTTGCTAAAGGCTGATAAAATAACTTATTACCATAGATGTACTGCAGAAATAAATTGTACAATAACAACAGATCTCAAATGCTTTCAAAAATGTAGGTTTAATTGAATGCCATTCCATGAACAATCAGGGTATCAAATGTGATTTGCTTCTACAAAAAGAGATTATTTTAAAGTGACTTTCCTTCCAGTCTCATGGTCTTTGATCGTACAATGGAACTTGTGTAATTTCTCACATAATATATTTGTACACAGCTAAATAACAGTTAACACTTGGTGGTTTAACACACTCAGTTAAGCAAAGGCTGCACTGTTGTCACAACAACATAGTGCAAATAAGTGACAGGTGAGGAGAGCAGTATGTGTCTGTCTGTATGACACAGTGGTCAGTTTAAAGTGCAATCACAGCATTTTAACTTCAATGCTACTGACTGGGCTTTTTCCTTTAAGAGTAACTTAACACCAGATTTAATATTAGTATTTCAAGTTTGTTCACACGCAGCCTCACTTATAGTTGTGGTGCTCTTTTGCACCTGTAACCATACCAAACCATGATGTCACAGTGTATGGACACACCCTAAAGTGCACTTCTACATTACGGCAGCAAAGTGAAAATTAAACTTTAGGAGGTCAGAGACAAACAAGATTTCCAGGGGGTGTTAAGTTTGTCTTTATGTTTCAATTAGTTATTTACCCAACTGAGGTAGTGAATGTTTATCAACCACAGTCTGCAACCATGTTAACAACGCAGGGAGACAAACCTCTATCCGCGTTACTGGAATGGTGAGAGTTAAACATAGTGCATGAATATTTTTGTCTCACCGTTCAGACGAAGCAAGCAATAATTCTGGGACAGTGCTTACAACAAGTTAATTACCTGAGCTTGATAAACGAGCAAAACAGTCTACAAAACATAATTTACGTGTGGATCTGATTTTTTAAAAGGTCAAATTAATAAAGCAGTTGTAAAAAGTTAAAATTGTGAATATCATTACACGGGTAAATGCATTCAGAAGTGTGCATCTCTCTTTCTTTTATCTTTCTTATCATTATAGCAATGTACCATTTGATGATGCAACAGAAAATAAAATTTTATGAACTTCTGAAACCAGCGAAGAGCAGATAAAGGAATTAAGAAATAAAATAATTGAGCAATAAAGATTTAAACAATAAAGAGCTATGCTCTTTTGAATTTATCCACCATAAAAGGTCAATGATGCATATGATTAAAATTGAATATGAACCTCGCTTTGCGTAAGGAGAGTCCAGCAAGGATGATTTTGGTTGGTAATTATTGTGAATGCTGACAAATGATATGTACATAAGTGAACTGCTGAGCTGTCTGCAATAAGGCAAGTAACAAAGAGTCCTGTGGAACACAATCTGTAAAAAGAAGTGTATAAAAAAAACATACACAATGTTACCCCTATATACATATAAAACAATTCAATTAATAAAAGAACCCCATAAGAGTGAGTTCCAGTAGCATGTAATGAAATCAATCACTATTTATCGATATAGGCACCTTTCCATAGGATATGAGCCTCATCCTCTAACCATGAAATGGTTAAATCACTTTCAAAGCATCTTAATTTTCTTCTGTAACTTACAAAACGTCCTATTCACATACATATACACACTCTCTCTCTCTCACACACACACACACAGACACACGCACACGCAAGTCAGTGGAGATGAAGTCAGTGTGAGAAGTCAGAGAGGAACTGTAGAGTCCAAGTGGAGACGTATCATTTGTCAGTGTCCTGACAGGGACATAATAAGCTATTAACACAGGGATTGTTATGCAATAGCTGGGGCCAGACAGTCAGTTCTGGTGGGAAGAGCCACAGATGACAGCACTGGGCGGAGTCAGTGGCGCAGTCCCGCCCCATGGCAGTTGATTGACAGCTCTGGGGTGGACAGTGCAGCCTTCTGGCTCTGAAGCCCAAGGACTGTGTGTGTTCCCTCATCATCATCATCTGGAAAATATCAGTTACAGCACGGACCAAATATTAGTCTGTATTTAAACACAGCCTAAGCCATATATAACATAGAGCATGTTTTATATATAAATATACAGATTAGATAAATGAATAAGGAGACAGAAAATACCTCACACTATTCTCATGCCAAGAATAACAACACAAAGCAGACATTTTTCTCGTAAACACAAAATATATCAACCGCAGGTGGTGAGCTATTGACATGCGAGAGTCAGTATGCACCCAATACGTCTGTTGATATAGCTACCATTTCCTCTATCATGTGGTCTAGTAGTCTCAATGACTAATGCTCATAAAAAAAGAAAAAAAAACCCACCTAAGAAGACAAGTAAAGTCTGTAAGCAAAATAGTGATGTTTATGTCATTGTTTCACTGTTGGTCTGTGTTTATGTGCTTTTATACATTTTCTTATATTCCATCAAACTGCCAGGGACTGCAGATGAAAATTATTATTTTATTTTTTTACATTTTCACCTGCCGCTACATGTAAGACTCCAAAGAATGAGTTCCCTTTTAGTCCAATTTGTTTGTAATGGACTGGTTGCACAGTCACAGTCATTTTGGCACGTCATAGCAGGAAACTCACAGCTGTATTAATGATAACTGCACACATCAGGGAAGTCACTGTTTTTCCGGCGTAGACAAGTCAGTGACGGCTGTGCAACCAGTTAAAAAATTTGGGATATGGATCAGAACTGAAAGAAATTCATATATTATTCATTTTCTTTGACAGTTTCTCTCTTCTCTTTAAATTTGAATACTTGTAAATAAACTGACAGTGATAACTGACACACCGAACCTTTATACCAGCAGCACCAGGAGCAGTTTTGCTGTAACCACTCAGGAATAAATTGAAGCCCAATCAGACCTGATAACGTGACTCATCACGTCTTTGCACTCCTGAACCTTGTAAATATTTTAACTAGGAGTTATAGATATACAGTAAAAAAAGAAGCATGATCCTGCAACTCTTAATGCAAGTCATGTGGTCAGAGTGTAGATTATGGGATCAAGGAACAAATCCATAAAGATCACTTAAGAGTCACTGAATGAGGAAAAACATCGACTGTAACTATGACATTGGAAATCATGCTCAATCTGTTCAATCATTTATTTATTTTCTTATCTCAGTGGACACTCAGACTAGGACGGAATAACATTTCAGTATTAGGGTTAAACTGACTGCAGCAGGTTCAGCTAAGGACAGAAAATTAGTACATAAGCGCTTACAAGTGTTCCTATCCTGTGCCACTTGATTATATGAGTGGGATGTTAATTATGTTTCTGAGATGCTTGTCTAATTGTGTAATTGTAAGTAGGTGGAAAAGCAGTGATGGAGGGTGAAGAAGGGTCAAAGCTACTCACTCGGCGGCTGAAGTGGCTTCTTTCTGGAGTTTGGCTCTGGCTGCGGCTGACCGGTTCAAATCTCCTCCTGAAGCAAGAGAGGGAGGTGGAGAGATTAAGAAGTGAGTGAGCCTGGAGGTAAGGAGAGGGCTGTGCTGAAGAGTGACAGAGTAAAGTGAAGAGATGTCACTTGAGAAGAGTCTGTCTGTTAATTACATGGTATTTACTAGGAAACTAGGAAACTAGATGGCAACAAACTAATGTAAGGAAGGTACCCATAAGAAAATGATAGTAAGTACTAAGTTATTACCTAGTAAGTACATGAAAATGTACTCTGAAACTACTAAAAATGTCCTTAAGCACTTATTAAGAAAGTGTCCAAATAAAAGGGTAAATAGTAGGTACATATTACTTGCTAGGTATACCACCACAAATTCATTGGTAAGGCATTACCAAAGAAATAAATCTGTGACAATATGGAAAGGGGAACAGGGGGGAGTGAGGGAAGTGAAGCTCACCTCTGAGATAATCCACAAAGTACAGCAACACCACGGCCATCAGTGCAACTGCAAGAACGAAAAACAATGCGGAAAACCTCAGACAATGTCATTCAAAAGCATCTAACAGGAGTGTGAAAGACACACACACAAACAGACATAGAAAAATACTGACTGCAGATGCAGGTGCAGAAAAACACTTCTAAAACAAGGTATCCTCTGTTGTCCAGGATGGATCCTGCTGCCATAGCAATGAGAGCAAGTCCCAAGTTCTGGATCGACTGCATGCTGGTGGTCGAAGGGAACAGATGAACATCAGGTGTCAATAAAAACAGCAACAATAATGAAGAGTCACTGTGTGTGTTTTAACTGTGAATAAGTGTGAGATATGTCATAACATTGTCATTACAGGTACATACAAGCCATAGGCCGTCCCCAGCTGATGCTCGGGTACCACAAACGCCACCATGGGCCACAGTGCACAGGCCAGTAAGGAGTAGGAGACACCCAGCAGGGACTGGAAAAAAAGCAAGAACACCCATTACTTTCCTGGGTATCATGTACTACCTAAACAAGCTTCCATACTGTATAATAGATTGCTGTGAGAATATGCATTTAACACCATATTGTGGACACTGAGGAATGGTACTACAGCAAAATGTATGTTTAATTAAATATTCAACTCCTACTATCTAGTAAGAGCTGAATATAGTAGTTTTTACATTAGCTAGAAATACAATCAGTGCTTTAATCTCTTCATGAGCAAACTCCTATTATCCCTACCAACAGGGGCTGGAAGTACACTCATTACACACACATTAATACAAATGATGTGCGCACAGCAAATCAATGGGTTTGTGGGACAGAAATGTATTTCCATCATTCAATTCATCCTACAACTGTTTATGAATGTACAAAAGAAAAGTTTTTTTGGGGTATAGCATTACCATGGCGATCCATGGGTTCCAGAAGGTGAAGGCCAGCATCATGTGAGCGGCGAGTGTAAAGACCACGGCGATTATCACCCAAACCACATTCCTCCCCGTCTTATCGACCATTAAGCCCAGAACTGGAGATGCAGGGGCTGAGATGATGTACACAATACTGGGGAGGACATAGAATGGCATGACAGGTGAATAATGAATAAAATATTTTAAAGGAAAATTCATTCAAAATATTCCACCATGGTCTCTGACATCAAAATAACAATAGACGAAGTCTGATGATGTTGTGAAATATAGCATGGGATCATGGGAGTTGTCTTCACCACGAATGAATAACGGAGTTTCACCTTACAAATCTGTGTTTTCCTGACACTGTTCGGCCCTGAGTTGCTGCTAATGTTAGCTCAGCTTGTTCCTCTATTAATTTAAGATCCAGACGTCCAATAACCAAAACCGACCAAGATCTAAAGTCATTAAAATGTGGCTCAAAACTGGATAAAAAGTCAATTTACAACAGCTTCTGGCAGACCACCATAACACTGACGCATGCGCAAAAGGCTACAAGTAAAATGCACCGTTCCTGGAATTAAACTACAGATTTTTCTAGGTTGGAACTGTTGGAAACATTTGGGAGAACTAGTTAGTACACAACTCAACAAAATATATATCACAGGTTGAGTGTTTAACATAGAAATGTTACATATTATAGCTTTACATTATGTGGAATTTTTTCAGGTTTCAGGCAGCTGAAAATTTCTCAACTCTGTTGTTACCACTAAAAAGTAATTTTGCCAGTCATCCATGAAAAAAAATCTCCCCACAAAAGGAAATGGAAGATACATCAGCAGCAGCACTATAATGTGTTAGTGCCTTAAGGTAGATTGGTCTCCATGGCCTATTACACCTGATCTGAGTTACCTGTTGACAGCTCTGGCTTCAGCTGGGGAGAAGTTGAATTTTTCAATGAAGAACACCCTGCAAATAAAAAGACAAGATGTCGAGTGCTGCTTAGCCTTTATATTGATGATGTGACCACAAGAAGATGTGAAATTGAGCTGACTACTGCAGCAGGTAGCTCTCACTCTTCCATACATTGTTTTCCTCCCCATTTGCATAACAACTATTTGCTCTGTAAGCACTGACCCTCTGTGGAAAAAAAACATGTCAGTTGCTAAGAGATTTGAGAGTGCCTTTCAGTGAAGGATATGCAGGTTGTGATAGCTTCAATTGGTTTGTTTCACAGTAAACCTATTTGTCAAACCTTTTTCCATTTCTGACTCCCTCTCCCTCCCTTTGTGGTTCGATGACAACACAGCATTGTGAGGTTGCCCTGTTGAATCGGTCCTCAGACGCAGTACCAATTTAATGGAGGGTCTCCATTTAATTCATGCCACAGCATTTAATTATACCACCACCTTGAAGTGAATTGTATTTTATATTTTCTCAAGGATGAGTGATGATCTAGATATTTGCATCAAGCAATAAATCAAATATGCTGCTCCATGATTTCAGCATACAAAGCACTTCTTTTTTAGAAGAGAACATTTTTAGTATTTGTATGATTATAGCATTTGTCGTTTTTTCTGTTGGAGTAAAGGTTTGTAGAACGGCACTCCTTAAAGGATGCATCTAGTGATATTCAAATCCCATGAAAAGATAAAAATCAACAAAGAATTGTGGCTATTAACTGGTAACTACGGTATTTTTCAACATGGACATTATTTTCCCATGTTTTTGTGGCCACTTTATTAGGGACAACTGTACAATCCAATACAAGAAGTTTTGTTTTGTAATATGTAAATTCAATATAATATGGGATCATAGTCAAAGCTGGCGTTGTATGGAACTACATCATACTGATAGGTGTTTCTATTTTTTTGTCCTCCCTATTTACATGCCTAAGAGTTGCAGAATATTAGAATCACTTCTGAATATAATGCAGTCCAGTACAACACGTCATTAAGTATGACCTCAATTGTAAAACATATACTTGACCGAACACATCTATGATAGCGTCAACAAAAACATTATAGACACGTCATGTAGGAATGAATACCACGGGTTCGAGAATTTAATGAGAAAGCAAATGTGTGTGGGTGTGTTCAATGGCACTGATGGTATACTCACTGTCCCAGTCCAATAAAGGGGAAGATCGCAACATAGTAGCCCACACAAATGATAAAGATGAGCCACAGGGTGATGGGAAAGTCTTTCACGTCTGTCAGCTTGACTACTTCACCTAATATGGAAGATTAAAACACATGCAGCTCAGCTTGAGAGCGGTATTTTCTTTCAGCAACTGTAAAAGAAGAACAGCGGCTCCTCTGACAAAAGGCGCCATTAGTTCTAACGGTATAATTACACATTGAAATGAACCGTCCCTGTCGTTACAGAGAAGCCATGACAGAGAAAGTGCGGAAGAGCCAATGAACTGACTTGCCAGAATGTCAATTTCAGGCAGATAGCAACAAAAACAAAACATGGCCTCACAGTCAAAAGCCCTCTAGTAGTTATTGACGAGTGAGGCCAAAGAGGAAAAACAAAAGATAAAAAAAGACTACATGTCTCAGCACCTGTTTTGCCTTCTTCCTTGTGGAGGATCTTCTCTGCTCTTTTGTCAAGGAACGCCAACACCAAGGCACAGATTAGTGAAAAGAGGCAGGTTACAGCAGCTAAAGAGACAGAAAAGAAAGTAAGGAAATGTAAGTCGCAGTAATAACACTTCGACCGCTGACTGCTTCTATTGTTCATTTGAATTTATCTCAAATGGTCCGTTTAAAGTTTAATCAACAGTGGCAGTGGAGACAGACTATAAACGAGAACACACAACTGCAAGGTGTGCAAAACTGAAAGCACCTTTGGCATAACCAAGAAGTAACTTGAGAAAATGATTAAGAACCGACACTTCCTTGAACTCGTGACTCATCTGTAGCAGCCAGCAGCACTTTTGGTTCTCTATACCACTTCTCTCTGCTGGCTGTGTCATCTGATATCATTAGTTACACAGAAATGATACAGTATCTCCAGCAGAGACACATAACCTGAGTCTTAATGTTTAACACTTGCATATTTCAGGTCTTCTCACAGACCCCCAGCTAAATAAAAAAAAGCCTCTCATATTTACCTATCAAGAGTGATGCGCCCAATGCGGTGTGTCCGGGAGAGCCAACAAGGTCCACCACTTTGCTGTACACCCAGCCCATTATGTTCATGTTCACTGTGCTGCCCTTGAAGCAAGTGCAGAGGAGGGTAAATGGACTTCAGGCATGAATTCACTGAATCTGTGACGTGCATTTTTGTACAGCATGTATAACTTCAAGATCGGTTGGCAGAGTCCTTACCACTCGAGCCATGCTCAGCTGAAGGCCAAACACCAGATTTAGCTCCTTTCCTTTGAACCAGTTGACTGCATATGTGTTTTGGGCTACAGCCAAGGACTCTCCCCCAATACTGCGCACGAAAAGAAAAACAGGGAGGGAGGAGGGTGTAAGGTATGTGTAAGTACAACCTGGGTATAAGATTTAAAACAGGTTCTTGTTTTATAAAGGTGAATTCTTCATGAATGACTGAAGTGAAAGATATTATGTGTGTGGTGTGTGCATCTTCAGTATATATACACACATATATACGAGGCTGTAGACAACTGGAGAGTAACTTTGTTTGATTATGTTCGTAAAATGATGATGACACAATGGAAAAGGTTGAGATTTTCTCACCCAAATACAAAACGTCCAGCTTCCATCAGCCAGAAATGATTCACCAAAGCTCCAGCAGCAAATATTACCTGTACACAGTGGAAACGTTTAAATACAACAACAAAAACAATCTAACTGCCATCCATTTTCTGCACCTATTGATCGCAATTTAGATAGATAATTTAAAAAAAGAACGTCATCTCTGGTAATTATATTCTCTCTTTTCATGTCAAGATTTCAAAGTAAACCAACCTGTCCAACACAGACAAAGAGGGAAAAGATGATGGTTCCCAGCCTATAACAAAAACAATGAAACATGACACTGTCTGAGATGAAAAGTACAAAGTTTCACTTTCACTTATGGCGAATTCATTTATGAAAACACACACTGAACTACAAATAAATGTGATTTATTGGTCTTTGTACCTGATGCCAAAAACCCTGTCGAGAAGGAATCCCCCAAAGAAGCAGAGAACCACATTGGGCCAGGAGTACCAGGCATACAGCTGCATGAACTTTGCAGTGTTCAGGTTCAGATCCTGGTGCAGTCAGGGAGGAAGCACATCAGACTCTTGTTAACTGTTAAAATCTATAAACACAATACTATACAGTGTGTGGACTTGAAATAAGAACCTCTAGTGGAAGCACAGGAGTCATTTAACTGTTCTGGTTGGATTATTATGCAGATTTCACTCTCTGAACAGATGCTTCCCTAAATGCAGAAACCTACTCTGACTTCTGCGGGTCCGTGTCTCAGCCTGGGATAAATGTGAATTGTTGCATTCGTGGCACAATACTTTGGCTTGTAACTTTGCATTTGCATAGGATGAATTACCTGAATGACTTGAGTTTGAAGAGCAGCCGGGTTGTCATAACAGAAGTAGCTTCCTGGAACAAATTAACTACATTAACACACTTCATTCATAATGAGACTGCATTTATTTGACGCTGCATGAGCCGCAATGGGCAACGACACTCTGAGCTTCCTTTTAAACAAATGTAACTTATTGAACTCATCCTGAATGGTTACTGTGGAAGTTTGGGGACTGTTCGCGGAAGTTAATGAGAGGTTGTTTTTTTTGGTTTTTTTTTTACTGCTCACCGAATCCCAAGAAGCACATGAATAACAGGACAACCACTCGGTGCAGTAGGTGGCTGGGGTCGCAGATGGCCCACATCGGTCTGCCGGCTGTGCGTCGGCCGGCGGACGAGCCCTCGTCCCCGTCTCCCAACAGGCTCCGCCGCTCTTCGTAGTCCGCCATGTTCGCTTGTTTGGGATCTGCGGGAGGAAAAGTTGGCTGCAGCTAGGAGGACGTAGATCGATCACATGACCCGCCAGACGCGTCACGTGGCGTTAGCGCTTGTAGCTTGTAGCTTGTAGCCCGCGCTCATCCAGTAGGTTTGTGCGGGCGCGCGACTGCCTGCAGAGAAGTTGAAGCACCTCGCGGGAGCGCGCACAGAAAGCCTTAAAATGTTTCATTGATTTCTGAGAAGACAGATGCCTTCACGGTTAGCAGCCTCTGCCACCGAGATAAAAGGGGTCAAGTGCATTATTAGATAAGGTAGAGATACGCATTTACCAGAAAAAAACCCGAGAGTATGTATTGTTATTATGAGAAAATACGAGATAAATATACCTTTAGCTCCTAATTATGAGAAAATGAAACAGACTGGTGGTTTGTGGTTCTAGATAAAATGTATGTTACCTTTTGGACAAAGAAAAAAGCTTACAGATGATACACAGAGGCAGACATTTAACATTTAGGCACCTAAATGGAGACCTTTCTTGTCTGTCCTCTGTCTCTAGTTTGTGGTTGTGCAGTTTTATGACACTGTGACTATCTTAGAGGTCACAATAGGTCAATTTATACAGTGAGTTCAAAAAATTTGTCTCTCTACAATGAAATGGCTACTATGGGGACAAACATAATCACACATTTAATACAATGGGTTCACTGAATCCACAAGGGTTTAAGCATTTCAGTCATACCAAATTCACACTATGCAGAAATATTAAAATACACAGGGAGAATATAACACACTTATAAACTGCATGGTTTATGCTCTGCAAACATGAGAGCAGGCATACTTCACTGTCTTGTTTTCAGAAGGACTACGCCTCATTTTGGTTGACAGAAGTTAATGTTACTAGTGGAACTATGTCACTATGTGGGACCCACCCAGTCAGTGTGTGTATGTCTGTGGTACGTCATCACAGGTTAGGTCATGGTGTTACTGAGTAAATGCCGTGTGTGCCAATTATAACTGTAGACCGCAGCGAACCAGAAAAGAGTCCCAGTGATGGTGTACCTAAAGTTATTACTATAAAAAAGAATAACTTCACACCTATGTGAATCCCTCCTCCTCCACCACAGCGACGACTCTCTGCCTACAAGAGAGGGACGTCAACAGGCTCTTTAAGAAGCAGAACCCCCGCAAAGCAGCCGGACCAGATTCTGTCTCTCCATCCACCCTGAAGCACTGTGCTGACCAGCTGATTCCGGTGTTCACGGACATCTTCAACACCTCATTGGAGACATGTCATGTGCCAGCCTGCTTCAAGTCATCCACCATCATCCCTGTCCCCAAAAAAGCAAGGACCACAGGACTAAATGACTACAGATCTGTTGCCCTCACCTCTGTGGTCATGAAGTCTTTTGAGCGCCTTGTGCTTTCCCACCTGAAAGCCATAACGGATCCCCTGCAGTTCTCCCACAGGTCTGTAGACGATGCAGTTTACATGGCCCTGCACTTCACCCTCCAGCATCTGGACTCCCCAGGAACCTACGCCAGGATCCTGTTTGTGGGCTTAAGCTCTGTATTTAACACCATCATCCCAGCTCTACTACAGGACAAGCTCTCCCAGCTCACTGTGCCTGACTCCACCTGCAGGTGGATCACAGACTTCCTGTCTGACAGGAAACAGCACGTGAAGCTGGGGAAAAATGTCTCTGACTCCCAGACCATCAGCACCGGTTCCCCCCAAGGCTGCGTTCTTTCTCCTTTACTCTTCTCAATGTACACCAACAGCTGCACCTCCAGTCACCCGTCCGTCAGGCTACTGAAGTTCGCGGATGACAACTCCCTCATAGGGCTCATCTCTGGTGGAGACGAGTCCGCCTACAGATGGGAGATTGACCATCTGGTCACCTGGTGCAGCCAGAACAACCTGGAGCTAAATGCTCTAAAAACAGTGGAGATGGTTGTGGACTTTAGAAAGAACCCAGCCCCACCCGCCCCCATCATCCTGTGTGACTCCCCAGTTGACTCTGTGGAGTCCTTCCGCTTCCTGGGTACCATCATCACCCAGGACCTCAAGTTGGAGCTGAACATCAGCTCCCTCACCAAGAAAGCCCAGCAGAGGATGTACTTCCTGCGGCAGCTGGGGAAGTTCAACCTGCCAAAGACGATGATGGTGCACTTCTACACCGCCATCATCGAGCCCATCCTCACCTCATCCATCACCATCTGGTACGCTGCTGCCACTGCCAAGGACAAGGGCAGACTGCAGTGCATCATTCGTTCCGCTGAGAGGGTGATCGGCTGCAACCTGCCATCCCTCCCGGACCTGTACATCTCTAGGACCCTGAGGCGTGCAGGCAAGATTGTGGCTGACCCCTCCCACCCCTGCCACAAACTCTTTGAACCACTCCCCTCTGGCAGGAGGCTACGGCCCATAAGGACCAAAACCTCTCGCCACAAAAACAGTTTCTTCCCGTCTGCAGCTGGCCTTAATAACAAGGCCCGGACCCCCCACTGTCACTGACTCTTCTTAATTTTTTTGTGTGATTGTATATTCTAAGCACCATTGCACCAAGACAAATTCCTAGTATGTGTACAAACCTCATTCTGATTCTTATTCTGATTCTGAAAACACCTGCTTTTAAAATGGGGTTTGATTTGACAGTCTGGTGCAGGGGGTATTTTAACCTTAATAATTTGGATGAATTGAGCTGACTAATAATGAGCCCCAAACAGCATAAAGTAACACAGGCAGTGGGGCTAAAACTAACGAGTTTTCTACTTCTTTCGGCTTATAGTAAATGGTCACTTAATCAGCACAAACTGCTCTGAGAGCATTGGTCACCAAAACAGCAGACAGAACACACTCCTGTGTGAGGGGCAGAGGTGAAAAAAATAAAAAAGGGTCACCAGTTGGGCAGAAAGTTGTGATGCATTTATGGTAAAACTATACCTCACATCTCTGTAAAATAACAAACAGAGGAAACTATTAAACCATTAAGAAGCACATAAAGGCAGACAACATTTTCTAGCATGTAGGGCAGCCTATATGGCACTGCATTGCGTTTTCTTCTCTGGAAAAGCGCTCTAGAGGGCACTTTGTCACGTTTATTGCACTTGCGTTTTAACTACCTTAGGGGGCATCCAAGAGGGCACTTGTGCAACATTTAAACTTGGGGGCACCAGGGTGGGTGATCACTCTATAAGGCAATGACATTTTGGAGTCTGCCAGTTGTCCTTTGGTTGGTTCTTTTGCCCCTAGTCGCCAAAATTGAATTGTCTTGATGAGCTGGAGTTTCATTACTTGAGTTTATTTTAAATTTTTGTATTTGTGATGATCTAAATCCCTAAAAGAGTAAGGTAAGCCCACTCAGTTAATTTGTTTTTCACTCACTGACAGTTTGAACAGTTGAACAATGTGTCAAAATGACTTTTTTGACCTAAAGTTTAAGTCTAAGCTCTAATAAGCTGCCTATAAGCCATTTCTCTGTGGCATCTTGACATAAAACTGTTCATAAACCTCTACTGATTGGTATCACTGATATGTAGACTTGACAGGTTTCTCTGACATGCGAGCTGTACCACCTTGTTTCATTAGGTCCTCCACATGCATCCAGTTATATGAAACTGTCAGTCCCCACCTCCACCTGCCCACTATTTATCTGAAACTTTTCTGTCCACAACTTGTGCCTGTGCATACTGCTAGGCAACACTATCTCCAGGGTTTATTTAATTTCCATGAATGTCATTTAGAATTTCTCATAATTCACTACTGCAGGGTCATCTGTCAGAGGATTTAATCTGAGGGTGACGAACGGGCCTTCCCCCGGCTGCAGTCGCTGCTCCGGCCGCTCTGTAGCTCATTAATTTCCTGGCCAAATATCAGCCTCTGTCGTAGCCAACAGAGGGTGGGATGGAGGAAGATCATATTTCATTATTACATTAATCAGACCCACATGCAGACACGATTGTAAATCAGGTGGGAGGTGACATTAATCCTGCAGAACCAGTTTGTGAATATCCTGAAACCCGTCTTCGGGGTGTTGCAGCATTGGAAAAGTCAATTTATTCCAGTTCTATTTTTTTCCCCCTCTTGTTCAATTCAAAAATTAATGTCGCAATGATGCCACTGCAATATTGTGAAAGGCTATATGCCCAACCTGCAAATGTTTGCAGCTTTGCTGGTTGTTGTTAGATTTGGTTTTTGGTTTCAGCGTTAACGCCTAATCTCCTCTAGAGCAATATGAGCCTGCAGTTCCTTCTGGTCTCAATTGTCAAAAGTGCCTCAGATACTTATCACCACCACCACAAATATAGATTAGCTATTTCTAATTTCTTAATGCCTGTCACCAAATTGGATTCAGTCTGATTCCCCTTGAAATTAATTAAATGAGGCTGTAGAAACACTGCTGCTGTTGTCCACAGGGGCTGCCTGTTTATTGTTGCAGCTTCGAAGGTCCAGTGTGTAACATATAGGTGGAATATAATATTTATAGGTACGTTTTCATTAGTGTATTATCACCTGAATATAATGATTGTATTTTGTTTTTATCTACAGACGGTCAACTTCTATGGAGTCTGCAATATTGAACCACTGTTTCTACAGTAGCCCAGCACAGACAAACAGACACTGTAGATGGGGCCTTTTGCGTTTTTGGCTAGTTTCACAGCACGCTGTATTTCTCCTGCACAGCCCATTCTCATTACTAGGTCTTCAAATACAGACACCAGCATTGTTCAGTTCACCACTAGATGCCACTAAATCCTACACACTGGTCCTTTCAATAAAAATGTATTAACTATTCTTTCTATTTTTATTTCAAATTCTTCTGTGAGGGCATATTTTACTTTAGCTTGAACATTTTGTAAACTGTGAATCATAGCACTATCTGTATACACCATGTACGCAGTGGCAGAGGAACTGGGTTTAGGTGGTTTTAGCCTCAATTCTTATTGGTTGGCTTTTTTTGCACGGTTTGGTGCTGTATGTGCATGCATCTCTGATGTCTTTGTGGGACAAACAGATACAGATCAGAAATGTCATTTCACCACAGACTCATGTCCTACCCCCTCAACCAAGATGCCCTACAAACATCACCTACTATGAGCTCTGTTATTATTAAGATTAATTCCCAGCATAACAATGTTACACCATGCAATTGAAGTAAGGAATATATACATTTTATTATTACGGTATTATTGTTATTTGTATTACACAGAAGCTATAGCTGTAAGCAGTGTCTATTGCTGTCCTTTGTTCCTGACTCATTTTGTTATCTTTCAGTCACTGGTCACACTGTGCGTGTGGTGTAATCATTGGAGAATTAATACAAGATGTTTACCCTTTAGCTAAAGTTTGTAAAGGAAAAGTGCAGTTTGGATGAGATTAGAGAGAAGGAAGTGGAAAATGACAGTAAGCACAATTAAGGAAACATATTGGATGACTTTGCAAACGTGTGGCAGAAGTGCTTGGTAAGTACAGTAGTTTCTGTTGTTATAAAACTTCTGGACCACCTCCGGACATGTTTGACATTTTGATCACATTGCATTAATTTTACAACTTGTGTCACCAAAATAAAATGCTATTTACAAGTAAAATAGCACATTCTTTCAGGCAGTGTGTCATCCCACCTTGACAGTTACAGTTATTGATTATGTTCCATTGTACGTTGTTCAGTCACATTCTTTACACACATTGTTACTGAGGCATCCCATTATATGAGTCTGTTGCTCTAGGCTACCTGTGACATCTCCAGCTGAGTTGATGTTCCTGTGGGAGACTCCACGGTACCTCCGTGGAATGGCTTACGGCAGAGTGCGGCTGTCAGTCTTTTCCTGAACACCTTACACAGGAACACATAGATAAGTGGGTCCAGACACACATTTGTGGCCGACAGCCACAAGGTGGTTTCCTTGGCGATATAGAGTGCATTCTGTGCCCGGCAATGACTCGCCAGGCTGCCGGTTTGGGTCAGGGTGTAAGGAACGCGTGCAAAGTGAAAAGGGGCAAAGCAGATGAAAAAAACCCCCACCACAACAAATACCTTCGCTTTGGTTCTGCGACTGGCTGCTTGAGATCGGCTCCTTGAGGCTTTGTATGACTCATAAACCTTTTTGCTGATGAACGTGTAGCAAACCACCATCAAGGCCAACGTGCCCCAGAAAATCACCTATAAGCACACATACATTCTCAGCTTTTTTAACAACATATTTTGCTCAGTAGTTGGTGAATTATTCAAATGTGTTGATATCACAGTGCAGATATGTTCAAAGCATATTCAACAATTTGTGACGGACACTTATTTGCTCTCTCACTGAAAGTTAGATGGGACGATTGATACCACTCTCATGTTGGGACAGTAAATATGAAGCTACTGCTAGTTTAGGTTAGTATAAAGACTGGAAGTAGCAGGGAAACAGCTAGCCCTTCTCTGTCCAACTACAAAATCCAGATACCAGCACCTTTAAAGATTTAATTGTAAAAACAACTTTTTCTGGTTTTTGTCTCTGTTCCTGGCCAAGAAATAGTGTGACACATAGCTGTGCATTGTGCTTTTTAAACTTCAGTCTTCTAAAATTAAGCATCTCTTGTATGGATTCAACAAACCTGATGTCACATGTTGTTTATCGAGCTTTAGTGCTGGTAGATTAGTTTGGTCCCCTTGACACAGCAAGGCTAGATATTACCCCCTTTTCTAGTCTTCATGCTAACCTTAGCTGACCAGTTTCTGCCTCCAACTTTGTATGTGCTTGAGATTGGTACTGATCTTCTCTTCTGAATCTCAGCAAAAAGGCAAATACATTTATTTACCAAAGCTTTTACTTGATTTATTAGTTACCTGACAGAAGTAGTTGAATCCTTCATGCCAGAGCAGGCCGGCTTTGCTCTTCATGGAGGTGCACTTCAACTTGCCTCCAGATACCCGTGGTGGCTGGTCACTTAGAATAACATTGGGTAATGCCAAAGATAGCATAACCACCCAGACGGCTGCACTCAGAATCTGACCGACACGAACCCGCTGCAGAGCACACTTCCCAAAGGGCCTGACTATCTTCAGGTAGCGGTCCAGGCTGATGAGACCCAGCAACAGGATGCTGATGTACATGGTGATGTAGAAGAGAACCGCAGAGTACCGGCAGTGGAAGGCGCGAAGTGGCCAGGAACCCACACCTGCATCGCTCAAGATTCTCACAGGTATGGTCAGGGTCATCAGCAAGTCAGCCACCACCTGTGAATTAAGGATTTTTATTTATGTTTTTGTTCTGCACTGACAACCAGATTTATAAAGCAAAAGCCATCATGTCTTACCACATTTTTTAGAAAGACCACAAATGTTGAGGTGCTAGGGATGCTGAAGAAGATCCATGCAGCCAGGGAATTAAGTATCAGGGCGACTATAAAGAGGATGCTGTATAGAAAGGGGAAAACCACAGCTGTTACACTGGTGTCCCGAACACACTTAATGGAGATGTTTGACAAGGTGTTGTTCATCTTCTGATCTGCGGTGGACCTTCGGAGAGGACAGAGAGAGGAGAAAGGATAAGATAAGGGTAAGAATGAGACATAAATAAAGCAGATAAAGGAACAAATAAATTACGTAAAGAAAGAACACGGTAAAATGTCGTAATATATCAAAAACCTATACATGCAAAGATTATACCATTTGGCTTCTGTTTGCAGGGTCTACTGAAAATTCCTTAGTAGAACAGGGGTTGACTTACTTTGTATGATAATGAGTTATTTTTAAACTATTTCTTTCATAACTAGTTCTAAGACTTAAGTGTGAGGATTTAGGGTTCTTTTTGTCTGAATTCAACAAGTAAAGACCACTTTCAGAAATAAAATAAAATAAATTAAATTAAAATAATTCGGTGCTTAAAGTATTAAAAATACCCGATGCAAAAATATGTCCCCTGTGACTATATTACTATATATTACATTATTAATGATCATTTTCTCAGTTAATTAATAGGTAGTTTGGTTAGTAAAAGTTCAGAAAATAGTCAGCAATGCTGTCACAATTAACCAGAGGCTAAAGTGACACCTTCACATTCAGGTTTGTTTTGTTCAAACAACAGTCCAAACCTCATGATTATTCAAACCAAATCGAAGTTCAATGATGACTTTAAAAACTTTTGGTAATTACCAAAAAAGTTGGTAATTAATTTTCTGTCAATTGATTTATCGAATAATACACCAATTGTTTCAGCCATACTAGTACATACTTTTATACATAGCATATTTTACGAGTTCTTTGTATGTTTTGTGTACAAAAATCTCTATTTGTAAAATACATAAAGTTGTCAAATAAATGTAGCAGAGTAAAATTAAAAAGTGGCATGTAAAGAAAAGACTCAAGTAAAGAACAAGTACCTCACATTTATATTTAAGTACAGTGCTTGAGTAAACACACTACATTCTACCAATGCCAACAACTAACTAACTCTTGTCCTTGTTCTGTCTGAATTCTGCTCCTGTCTGACAGTATATCTCCTTGGTGTGCTGTCGTTACAAAACCTTACAGCTTAGAATAACACTGCGGCCAGGAGCAGGTGCTATGGCAGCCGAGATGTACTATACTCTCAAAAGTTTTTTAGTAATACGAATTCTATATTTGTGCCCAGTTTTGACTGGTATTTTAACTACTATACTATATACTCTAACTGAATCTTACCTCTCAGTGTGTCCTTATCGTCTGAGACTGCGGGGCAAGTGAGGAATAAAGAATACACGGTACATAAAAAAGAAAAACGTAAGGAAGTGGTGAAATATTCAATTCCCCTTTCTCTTAAAATGAAATAATAGAAACACCCAAACTCAGTAAACATAAGTAACCCTCACTAACCCTGTTACTTTAATTCTACAATCAGTCAAGAAATATACTACTTCTGACCTAACAAGGTTTCAGCCTCTCTGTCTTTCTCAGTCTTTCTCTCCCTCTTTAAGTGTGTGTGTGTGTGTGTGTGTGTGTGTGTGTGTGTGTGTGTGTGTTTTGTGTGTATGTGTTTGATGCTCTTACAATGGCTGGTCTCTGGAGCTACTGTGTGGCTGTCTTGTCACAACCCCAATGAGTTTGCCAGTCTTCCTCCGGGTGAAAGACCCTTTCCTTCCTTGCTTCCTGTTCCAATTGTCTGCCGAGAGGCTTGTTCTGCTCCGTGCCAGTCCCCCTTCCTCTACTAGCTTGCGTCAGTCTCAGTAGCTGTTAACACCAAAGCCATGGACTCATTTCTCGACCCACATATAGAGACCTCTTGCTGCACCCCCGCTGCTCCTCCCTCCATCCTGCAGCTTATTTACCCCATCTCTATCTCTCTGTCTTTTCTCATCACAAGACTCTCACCAACCAGAGAGATAAAAACAGTGGGTGAGAATGATGGGCATATTGTGCCACTGACTTTTCATTATATGTTGTTATGGCGCCCTTGAGCTCCTTTACCATATATCTTATATCATGAAAACAAAAGTTATTTAACAATGTCATTTTCTATTTGTTTATTTTTAAGATAGCATATATTGTAACTACTGTCAACTCTGACTCTCTCAAGTACAGTATAAGATTGAATTTTCCCTTCCATACATATCTAAAGTTTTGCTTTCTTGGAGTTTAATTCCCTTTTGTACTATCTTGATAAAAATAGTGCAAGAACACAACATGATTTCCTGTGTGGTTTTACTTGTATCTGGGCCAGGAATTACCAGTGGGGAACAGTCTGAGAAATGACATGTGCGTGTTCACCACAAGCCCCTTAAGTGAACTCTTAATGTATGTGACAGTAACTGTTTCAAATGACAACAGCGACGTGGTTTCCAGTTTTTACAAATAAACACGATAGCAATCCTCAGTAAAATTCACAACTTTATTTGAATTACATCACACTGTACCCAAAGACTTCCCCTCACATTACCACATTGCCCAGCAGTCCGGTTTTCTGCTGAAGAACCACAAACTTAGCAAATCAGTGGTAAAACAAAAACTTGAAACTTAAACAACACTGAGCAGAGCAACAACTTCAGTGTGAGATGCAAATGTGAACTAGCTTCAGCTTAACTTGCTTTGCATGGCAGCTTCATTTACAGTCTCTCTTACTCTATTTGCCTTCTGATTTTGAATTTCTAGAGCTACTATTAAACTGTGTTTAAAAAACATAAAAACAGCATATCACCCTCTTGTCTCGTGCTGTTTATCTCATCCATCCTTATTGTATTTCCTGTTTGGTTCTCAAGCTATTTAGAGCTACACTTGGACAAGACATAAAACAGCACGAGGCAACTGTTATATGGGTTTAAAAAGTAAATGCAGCAAATAGCAGAATCTTAATTTATATGTGAAACAAAAATCTGACATTTAGACTACAAAAACATATGGGCTCTGTCCATAAAATTTTTATCTCCTCTGTCAGGATCTACTCTGTGGTGAAATGCCTGCTGAGGCTGCTTGGAATGAGATGGACAAATTTTTCATCATAGACATCAGTTTCTCCTTGAACTCCCTACACAGAAAGATGTAGAGAAGAGGGTTCATGCAGATGTTTGTGGTGGCAAACCAGAGGCTGAATTCTTTGGCAAACCTGCCCTTTAAGTAAGAGCAGTCGGTATTGGAAGAATAGTTGACTTGTTGAAAGGTGTATGGGATCCTGACAAAGTGGTATGGTCCGAATGATACAAAAAACACAATGACAACCAGAAAAACGCGCAGTTTGATCTTTTGCTTTCCCTGGTTGTTATTGCTGCCAGAGTTTCGAAAGGACTGGATAACCTTGTTAGTGATGCAAATGTAGCAAACCACAATGACCACACTGACGAGCCAGAATAAAACATTCAGGTAAATTACAATGTTTTCGTGGATTTCAAGTCCAACTGGTCCTTTCAGATTCATACAAGAGCTGATCTCTGTCCCATTGGTCACTGATCTGTTACTTAAAATTATATTTGGTAAAGCTGAGCTTCCAAACAGTATCACCCAGACTGCGCCTGACACCACTTTGCTAAAGGTCAGATTACCAAACAACTTGCTGTGGGGGGTCGTGATCTTGAAGAAACGGTCCAGGCTTATTACACCCAACAAAGCGATACATGTGTAAAGCGTACTGTAGAAAATGGGACTGACATAACATGAAAGTATGACTAATTTGTTCGACGCACCCGGCAAGTCACTTGCAGCTGTGATTGGGATGATCAAGGTCATAATAATGTCAGCAGCGACTAGATTTTTCAGGTACACCATGAAGGTGGAGGTGGACTCGAGGTGCAGAGACACCCAGGCTGCCGCACCATTCAGCAACAAAGCTATGGGAAACATCAGAAAGTAGAGAGCTGGGACAACGTTTGGGTTGTAAATAAAACTGTCACAATTGGAGCCATTGTTAGGTGTTTGGTTCAATGGTATCCCTTCACCTGAGGAAAATGAAAGAGTTTAAAATTCATTTTAGAACCCATAATTCAAAAGAAACATCATCTTAAAGGCTATAAAAAATTCATTCCTAACATATTAAACTTTGAATGTTTGCAGTATTACATTACATATGCATATGTATTATGGTTCTAATAGTGTCCCATAGTCACTGAGAAATCACTCAACAGCAAATAGCAGTCTGGATTAACTTTTCCACTTTCATTAAATTAGAGTTGTGGTTTCTTTAAGTTTCCCACTCACTTTGCTGGTCAGTGTCAAAAGGAAGATGCATCCATTCATCCATTGTCAGTCGCTTATCCGAGTCAAGGTTGCACGCTAAGCAAATATAAGGGAATAATAATAATAATAATAAATGTTTCTTAAAGCAATCTTTCCTTTATAACTTTCTCTATTATAAATCATACTTCTCTTGTATACAATCTTTAAAAAAATGTATTCAATGTTATATGGGTTCAAACACAGTTATTTCCATTTTTATTTTTTGTGCACTTCAGAGAATCAAACTGGAGCTGGTTTATTCATTTTGTAAATTAGGTTGATCTGTTTTAACACATGAACTCCGGTATCCATAATCTTCTTACCCTCGACAAATACATTTGTATAAAAATTCAGAATGAAGCAAAACGAGCGTATAAGTTTCCTTAACCTGGCAGATGTATTATATCACAATATAGAGTGGATGGATAAGTAACTTATACACGGCAACCTTACACTGGTCACTGGTTCAAAGATTTTCAAAAAGTCTCCATTTAACTTTGCAGAACACAAAATTAATTTCTTTACAAAAATTCTAAATTCTACATTATGAACTAATCATGTAAATAAGAAAATGTTTTACCAACTTAACGGTGATGTCTTTCCTCACTCTTCTCCAACACAAAACTGCATGATGGACCAGTGTGACATGGTACTAACATGATAGGTGTTTGAGAAACACTGTTGATTTACCTAGCAAACAAATCAACATTTCAGCTGTGATAAGACTGGCAATTTATCATGACATATGCAAAAATAGGAAAAACTTACTGGTCTTTTGCCAAAAACAAAACAGACGTCATCCACCCAGCCCACAGTCCAAAAGCCACCTAGAGCGGAGATTCGATGAGGTGAAGGCTTGGATTTGGGGGGGGGGGCTATACTTTCTTTGGCCTGCACATGAACCTCAGACATCATTGCTCACAATCAAGGTGGAGTTGATAAAAGTAAACAAGAGTTGTTTAGAGACAAGAGCACCTGAACTATATGTTTGATGCTATACGTTCTCAGTCATTAGCATAGCAAATATTCCTCACATTGATGTGCCCTTAGTTCTGAGCATCATTTGAAAGGCTAAATACACGGCATTTGTTTCCCTGCTTACCATCATGGTGTTATTTATTGCTGGCAGAAGAAAACAAACTTTTCTTTGAGAAATACTGTAGCAACAACTGATGATTGTTTGATTAAAAAAAGGCTAAGTGGACAAGTTATATTCTCTCTTTTTGTGCTCTTCATTTGTTTTTTCTGCTTATTACTTGTAAATTTGCAAATTGATTGATTGCACCAGTTAATACAAGAACTCAGGAGCTGATTCTGGTGCAGTGGAATCATCTGACCAAAGGGTGGCCTCAGCTATTGAAGCCAAACAAAGAGTCCTACGGGTGGATACTAGAGCGTATTGTCTACTTAAGCAAAATAAATCTTTATTGTGTTAGTGTGTATTAGTGACCAGAGCAGAGCAGCATCGCAGTGAGCTGTGGTTACCAACAAAGTGGGTATATTGGTATGTTATTTTAATTTTTATTACACTGCTTGGCACTGAGGAAGACATTGTTGAAATGAAATCATTTAATGTGGCCAAACTGGATATAAGAAATTCTAAGAATTTATTTTTGGCAACTCAACAATGCTTTTAAGCAGGGAAGTTATTAAATATAGGTATAGGATTTATGAGAATAGTTGTGGAAAGATTTATGTCACCATTTATTTTAGCTCTTGAAATAAACCAAAAGCTTGTGAACACATTTATACTACGGCAGAAAAAATGCACTCTTTTGTAATATAATTATTTTATTAAACTGTTCATTTAGATTCCCCATTAAAAACCTTTGGTAGAATTACATCATTACTCAGAGTAGTTGTATTTGCAGTGACCCCATCACATAAAAACAAAACAAAAGACAACGTCAAACTCAAATTTATTGATATAGGTCTCACAATAACACCTCGATATGGGATTGTATATATATACACACACACAGTACAAATACACAATATACTATACACAATAATAATAAACATGACCACTGAGATTTAACATATTAACATATAACAGTATAGGTGTGTTCAAACGGCAAACTCACTTGATTTAGAATATAGTAATTTATTTGCAGTGTATTTTTTGCAGTGAAATTGACATATTTATCATAAGTCATGTTTCTACCTCGTTTCTCTTAGTATCCCTTTAGTCTCAACAGATGATAATCCTCACTAGGTCACTAGAGGGCAGTACAACATAAAACTCAGAAGTTACTGCAAGTCTTCTAAAAGCTCTCTTGCTACCTAACCTATTCCTTATTGTCCATAAAAGAAAAACAAAACCCTAATTTGTGACTGAAGACATCTTATTTGTCTCTAAAATAATTATATCCAACATGTATTGACTAATAACTGACTTCCTCTTTACTGGGAAGTCTCCTCCCTTTCACCAGATTATAACCTGACACAGACCCCTCGAGCTTTCATCAAGTTGACCAGTTTGTCTCTGTACTCCCTGCACAGGTAGATGTAGAGAATAGGGTCCAGGCAGGCATTAGTGGTAGAGACCCACAGGGCAAATCTATGGACTATTGCCACCCACATTTGATCACATCTATCAATGTCAAAGATTTCATCTAGTGTGAATGGAATACGCATCACGTGAAGAGGCACAAAACACACAAAAAACACAAGGAGGATCAAGAAGACTCGTAGCTTGGTCTTTTTCTTTCCGTGGCTATTGTTGCTCCCGGAGTTTCTGAAGGACTTCAAGACTTTTAGGGTGATGCAGATGTAGCAAAATACAATCAGTATACTGACAAGCCAGAAGAGAATCTCCATAGACAGAACCACATACTTGTGAAGAGACCGACCAGCTGGACTTTTCAGGGACATACATAAATCATCTGTTGTGTTATCAGGATCCCGGTTAGTCAGAATGATAGTTGGTATGACTGTTGTGCCAAACAACACCACCCAAACCAAGGTGGACATTACAAGACTGAAGACCACGTTTTGTCCTAACACCTTTCCACATGGTCTTACAATTTTGAAGAATCGGTCAAGGCTGATAAGACCCATTAAAGTAATGCTTGTATACAAACAGTTGTAGAAAATGACATCAGAGTAACGGCAGCTAAACATCCGTAACTCAATCATTGCTCCAGGTAGCTTGCTGGCTGCCATCAATGGGAGGGTCAGTGTCATGAGCAGGTCAGCAGCCACCAGGTTTTTGAGATACACGATGAAGGTAGATGTGGACCGGAGGTGCAAAGACACCCACGCCGCCACCCCATTGAGCAGTAACGCGATGGGGAACATGAAGAAGTAAAAAAACGAGACCACCTCATTGATGGTCTCAAGGCTGAGAGAGGCACAAGCAGAGGAGAAGAGTGCTGTGTTGTTGGACGCCATCATAAAATCTGGAATAAAGAAAACATACAGGCATGAAAGAAAAACTCTTTGTTCGTCTGTTTTACATCTGTGATCAGCTCGTAGGATAGAAAATAAGCAATGAGTTCTGTAGGCCCCGTAGACCAGAGCCACCTCCACATCTTTTGCTTCTGATTCATGCTTCTTCACTATGTTTCAACAAATTTGGAAGTAAAATGAGCAGATTTGATTAATTGCTACAAAGGGTACATCTGCATTTTATGTATCATTTAGTGACGTAAGAGAATAACATCCAGTTTTCCAAGTAGTAGGGATTTAGTTAATGGGCTGAGGTGAGGTCCAGGGCTCGTTAGAGACTGAGAAGTGCTTTAAATGTTTCCTACTTGCTCAGTTGGACCTGTTTTGCATTTGTCATTAGTTCAAAACACATTTGTTACTATGATTTGGTTTTGAATGCTCCGCCAGAGCATTTGAATGCATCCTGGATGGGTAACCTAATACTTTTGACACAGAATGATGGAAGTTTTGCAATTGTTGGATTTGTTTTCACCATATTATTACAACTGGATTCTATTATTTTGACCACATAGACACACACTGAATATATGGCACAGAATCTACCAACTTTAAGGGTTGGTGTTGAGTCACAGTCCTTTCAGCACAATAGATCTTAGTTGCTTCAAAGGCTTTTAATAAGTGTGATCAGTAAGAGTTTTATGTAGATGCAGCTCATCAGCACATTTATACATTCAGTGTTCAGTTAAATATAGAATGATATTAAGGGTGAATATATTGTTCAGAGACTCAACTGTGACAGTGATAATAACTACCTTATAGTGGCAACACAGTACTTTGATTTTAATGAAACGAGAAAGCTAAATCAAGCTGCTGAGCAATACGATTTAATCTTAATATTAATGATTTTTTGACCAATCACACCCAGTTAGTTCATTTTAAGATATTGCTCTGACGAAAGAGCGATCACAGTTTTCCTTTTGAGAAAGTTCACTGACCTGATAGCCTCTCAGCTATGGACCTACATAGATACACTTACTAAACCATATTTAAGCAATTCTGAGATGTTCTCACACTATTTCATGTTCAGTGAACAGCCCCCCCCCCCAAATGTTGTGAAACAAAACAGAATATTACACTCACCAACAAAGGCTTTCTCCTTAACTCCACAGTGTGTAGCCTGGGGAATTGATACCTTCACAAGATGAATTACCAAAGAGTGTTGGTGTGTTAAACCAGAGAAATGCAAATCCACGAAGAGGGCTGCCGCTGCTGTGGGGTGAACAGGATTCAAATAACATAGATTGTGGTAAGCCATTTGTTTTCATGCTACATTAAATCATTTAAGCTCTGTGATTGAACATGAAATCCAGGTGGCTTTATGTCTGGTCTCTCTCTCTATATATATATACAATATATATCTTTATATTGGATTAAACATTATTATTACTATGTTATTATAATAATAATAATAATAATTTGAGATGTGACAAATGAAACCACTGATTAGAGCTAAGTGCAATTTTCCCAGTACTTTCCCAGCAGGAAGTAGATACCGTAATTGAGTGAAGTGAATCCTATATTAAAACTGAGAATGGCAAAACATGGCCCAAACCACATTACCAACAAATCATCATAATGAATGAAACAATAAATCCTTTCTTGTTAAGGGATCCCAGTGCATTGACATATGTATGACTTGAGGTTTATTATACACGTAGGTTATTTTAGAGGAATACTGTGGATGTCCACGAGAGTTTCATTTTCAGTCACATTTCTTCTTTTCAAGATTAGTGTATGTGAAAACATAGAAGAGGAACTGTAATGTTATTATTTGGAACAGAGAACAGAAAGGAAAACAAACCCTCAAAACATACCAGTGTTAATTTATCAAGTTTGACACTAACAATATAAAAACTATGTATACACTTTTAACTTCTCCTAGAGGCAATTCTCTTACTGTCTGTTTTCCACAGACAATAGAAAAGTTTGCATAACGAGTTTAAGTTGATCTTTTTTAAAATTTAAAACTGTATCATAATGATTTTGTGATGATTGTAAACACAAATACACATATACATTTCATTTATGTCTCTAGGACTGAGTCAACATACTGATTATACAAAATACAAAAGATATTTACAAAAGATAATTTTGTCTGTCACCTACTGTATTTATAATACAGAACCTGCACATTAGAAAAATGTCTTTATCATGTCCAGTGGTTTTATGTACTGGCAGAGGAGTCTCTCACAGGGGTGATGCCTGTATCTGTGTCCGACTCTCTTCTTAGTAGCCAGGCACAGGTACCAGGAGGCAGCTGCAGGGTCTTAAACAAAGTGGTCCTGAAGGACTTGCAGAGGAAGAAGTAGATGAGAGGGTCCAGAAGAGAGTTTAAGGATGAGAGGAAGAGTGTGCTCTCCTTCAGCTGAAAGAAGAAGAGTTTGAGTTTACAGTCAAAGAGAACCCCTCGGGTCTGGCTCATGGTGTATGGCACACGGGCAAAGTGGAATGGCACAAAGGACACAAAGAACACTGCCAGAACCAGGAACACATTTGCACTCATTTTTCTGTTGGCCTGGCCGGGCTTACGAGTTGTTGCCCTACTCGGCGCCCGACATATGGTCCCTCCAGCGCTCTGGGACTTAGTGCGGGAGTAGGATCTGTACAGCTCCTTGGTGATTAGAGTGTAGCATATTATTACAGTCACCAGGTTGCCCCAGAAAATAACTTGACAGACATGATTTACCACCTCATGCCAGTACAGGCCAGCCTGTGTCTTCAGGTCACTGCACTTGAAATATGGAGAAGTTGGGGTTTTACTTGTCAGGATGACATTGGGCAGACATAGAACCAGCAGAAAGGCCCATATGGCTCCTGAAAGTATTTTACGACGGGTCAGCCGGGCTGCATTAGTCCCCCTAAAGGGCTTGAGGGTCTTCCTGCAGCGATCAATGCTGATGAGGCCGAAGAAGAGGATACTGATGTACATGGTGAGGTAGAAGAGCACCGAGGAAACTCGACACACGAATACACGCAGCCCAGTTGAAGCCATGTTGGAGTCTGATAAAATCTGCAGAAACACATTTCACATTTTACTGATGAACACGAACACAAGTTCAAGCCATACAGTATATTTTGTTTAAAAGTTAATGGTGGCCTTTATTAATGACTTGGAAATGAATGGCTCATCAGCAAGAGTTATTTTTTACAACCTAGCAAACAAAACGTTGGCTTATGAACAACACATAACTAATCCTTTATAAATGGTTTAATAACCATTAATAAAGCCATTAGTTACAACTCATAAACCCTCTATAAAGTGTGCCTTATAAGTAAATAGTAATTGTCAAACCAAACCTTGAAAGGGAATGTGAAAGTCATAATGATATCCGCAACCACAATATTCTTCAGGTATATGATGAAGTGAGACTTTGAGGGGATGCGAAAAAACACCCACGCAGCCACACTGTTGAGTGACAGCCCCACCAGGAAGAGAAAGGAGTAGAGAACAGGAAAAACCACCGTCTTCAGAACGTTATCACGGGAACAATTGCTGTTGGTGTGGCTGTGATTGCCGGACAGCAGGGAGAAACTTGTATTTCTCTCCATGAGTGTTGTCTAAAAAATACAAGAGAAAGTTCACAATATGTTCCCAAAATTCATTCAACAGCATTGCAGTTTTGCAGACATATTTTGTACATGTTCGATTTGCATTGAGACACGGTATATATAAAAAAACAATATACAATATATCCTGACTAAAAACAGTAGCTGTTATATTTATATTCTTGTTTCTTACAATAAATGTCAACATTTGTAAGTATGTTTTGCCTGATTGACTGTAATAAATACACTACACAGGTTTTCTAACTGACCTGTTAATGTTTCTGATGTGTCAGTAAAGTCCCATCAAAGTCCCAGTGCAGTTCTTGCTGAGATTATCGGTCCCTCTCTCTCCTGTATTCTGTGCAAATGTGACACGGAGCATCTGTCAGATCCACACAGTTTCAGACAAACATGTGTTTCTGCAAAGTGTGTGAAGGTTGGTGATATGCAAGAAACAGGAAGACTTTCTATTTTTCTTCTCCTTTCTCTTTCCTGTCATGAGGAAAAGCTGCAGACTATTTCTTAACAGACAGGAAGAAAATCAAATTGGTGTTGGCCACAGAGGGCAACTGACTCCCAGCAGATAAACACAAAGTTATAAAGTAGTCTTATACTGTATATAGTCTTATCAATAGCAAAAAAGAGATGATAAAAGGCACAAAACCACAGTAACTAGCTGATAAAACATTTCAAAGTCAGCATCATCTTTAACTATTGTTGCACTCCATCTTTATGGTGGACTCTATAATCATAAATATAATCTTAAGCTTCTACAAATATGTGACTACTTGTTGTCCTTTCGTAATATGACACAAGCTAATGCATTTCCTCTTATTCCCCTCTATTTTAATTGTGGTTGCTATTGTTGTGTAATGCCCACTGCTTCTGCAAAATACACATTTATGTATGTTTTCCTATGTCTATTCCTGCACTGTGTACATTTAAAGAAACATGGAACATGAATGAAATCAGTTTGATGAAGGTATTGTAATTTGGTTCATGTAAACCTGTTTCATTGTACAGGGGTGTGCTGATTCAAAATATTCAAGGACAGGAAAACTGCCAACAGTCAGGGTTATGCAAGGCAAAAATGATTTGCAACATGATGAGTCACCGAACAAATCCTTCTCTTTTCTATTTTCTATTACAGCTTGTTCCTCTGCAGGGTGGGTGAACTGCATCCTATTCCAGTGTACACTGGGTAAAAAGCAAGAAAACACTCAGGACAGTCTTTTATCACGTTACCACACATTTCTGCATTAAAAGAAGTGTAACTGTTACGGATATGCCCAAATAGTGTAAATAAGTCTTTAGATACAACATGAACAATTCATTTAAGAACAAACAGCTTGGAAGCACATTTAAACTTTCTGTCCCAAGGTGGAAAAAATATGAAACAGTTTTTTGGCTGACGCTTCGCTGATATAAAACTTTCCCATTGCTCACAGTCCCATTCAGATTTTGAACTCACTGCCTTCCCAGGTCCTGCCCAAATGCACTGAAAGCGCCTGACAGTTTAGAAGTACACCTATTGTTTTAAATGACCCCACTCCCACCAAAAGCATTAGAGGCATGTCGCTTTCAGTGTGTTTGGGCTTTAGGACATGATCCATGTTGCATAATAGACATTTGTCTCTATTTAGGTGGGGTCACCCTCTAACCTCTTTTTCTCAAAGACAGATTATGAGAAACTTCCTCAAATTGTTGTCTGTTGTATAGCATACGCAGTCTTGTCTTAATGACATAAAAACAAAATAGATTTTATCTAGTAGTTCTGAAGTAAGAATTTGCAATTTACTGTGTAATCCCGTTTATACATGCAGAGGGTATTTAGATAGAGCGCAAACATATGGCTATTTCCTTAAAGCATTACCTACCAGCAAATGTGGTAAAAGTACTCAAATTCTTTGTACAGTACTTAGTAAGAAAGTAAGTAAGAAACAAGTAAAAGTGTACTTTTACTCAAGTAAAAGTAAAAGTACTGGTTTGTCTGAAGGACATTTCTACCGGCTGTTTCTGTGCTAACCGAAGCTTCAAATAGGGTTGAGTCTCCTTCTTGTCTGTTTTGTCTGATTACGTCTTTAGTACAGTACAGATACCTGAAAAAACTACTCAAGTACAGTAAAGTATTTGTACTTAGTTACTTCCCAACTCTGTAACAGTGCAGACCTTGTGTGGATTGAACAAAAGAATTGTTTGTTCGCTATTTGCCAGCACTGCTGCAGAATGGAGGTTTGATCACATTGGGATGATGAGTCCAGTATGGAGTCTGGAGTGTGTCAAAGGAATCAACAATTTTATTGTATTGTGACCTCTAAATGTTAAGGCAGAAGACAAATGAACTGTGGGATCAGATATGATAGGAAGACTAGTAAATGGAATAACACAAAGTAAAATGTAAAAGCATTTAGTCATTTCATATATTCATTCATAATGTAAATGTAGAATAATTAGATAATATTTTTTTAAACAGCATCACGTGAATGTAAATAATGTCTTATGTTGTTTTAAATGACAATAGCTGATTCATTATAAATAAGGCAAAATTATTCTGGTAGCATACTCCAGATTCACTAGTCTAGCAGCACAAATTACATATCCATAGAACCATTTGCTTTGAATGAGGAGACCAATTATCATCAAGTACATCTAACTGACTATTATCCATTCAAATGCACCGTTATCATTATTTTTGGAACTGAGGGCCACTTTCTGCACATTTTGGTATCTACTTCTGTCTATCACATGACTCTGCCCTTCTCTCTTCAGTGTGCCCCTGTGAAAGTAACTTCCTGTGTCTGGTCCAAGATTGTCATTGTCAGCAGCATTCACTTCCTAAACAATTGCTTATCTAAATGCCTATTTGTGTTGCCCTTGTGGTTGATGTCACACGTATAGCACA